AAAAACACGATGTATCTCGCTGCATTGCGCGAGTACGCTTCTAGTTTTAGCAAAAACACGAATGCAGTAGAGAACGACCACATGAATTGGAATCCGTTATTTGATTCTTATTTTGAGTAATGTATTTTTAAAATCATCATTTTGGCACCTGAGATTTCAAATATCAAGCTTTTAAGTACTTGATTTTATCTAATGGCTTACAAATATTAATTAAGATCAGGTTTTTAGTAATATGACATCATTTATTTATTTTATAAATGTCAACTAAGAAAAAAAACACGTCCACTTCATTTTTTGGGAAATTTGTACCTTTTTAAAAACAAACGTTAGTTTTTTGGGAAATCAATATTTTTTAATTAAAAAAAATCTACGCCATTTTTTTAAACCTGTAAAACTTGTAATTTTTTAAATGACGAGAAGGGTATTCGCGCAATGCAGCGCGATACATCTTCATTTTACTGTTTTGTTTTGTTTTTTGTCTATGTTGATATATAGTATGATTTATGTGGTTTTGATCAAGATAATGTTTTTACTTTTGAATAAAAAAAAAAGAAATTATGATAAAATTTTAAAAATATATATCGGAATTAATATCAAATTAACTATTTAAAAGTTCTCGTTGTTTTGTACAATTTATGAATTCAATTTTTTATTTTAAATTTAATTTAGGTATAATAACGAATTAATTTATTTTTGGCTTAACAATATATATTTTATAAAGATAATGATTATGTTATAACTCAATAATTATCCTAATTATATTTTAGATTTTTTATATTTAAAATGAGATGTTTATCTTGTATTTGATTATGTTTATCCACGGTTAGTTATACAAATTAAAAAATAGAGCTTTAATAAGTTGTACTTGTGCACAATTACTTGTAATATTAAATTTAAGTAATACACATTAATAAACAGTACTTCATACATAAAAAATTGTTTTTAAGAGTTTTTGTCAAATACTTTATGATATAGTATAAATTGTTATTTCCATAACGTTTATAAATCTATTGCTTATTGAAATTCTTATTAACTAAAATAATAGAAACATTTGTTATTATCAGTAGATATCGATAAGTTAATAACAAAATATTGGCAATGGATAAACGTTTTCAAAAATTCCCAATCTTCTAGAATAAAAATGGGACAGTAACATAAAACCGCTATCAGTTATAAAAAAATGTCTTGATATTTCGTTAACGATGGATCAAAGTTAAATGTCCCAAAACGTCGATAATGCTCGATCAATGTTACACAGGCTCCGTTTAGTCATTATATTATATAAAAACAAACAATTTCGTTTATTTTCATTCTCATTGATTACTGTTTAATATCTCTAACCAAACACCCTCTTAAACTATTTGCAAAGTTTATTTTTAGACCACAAAAAAATAGACGTTTTTGAAAACCAGTTTCTCAAAATAAGAATGAACGTTTTATTTAATGCAATTTCTTTTAAAAAATGATGTTCATTTTCCCAACGTTTTTTTGGTAATTTTTTGCTCAAATTTAACATTTTACGTATAGAGGTTGTTTGTTTACCTCTTAATAGTTCCATTAAGAGACAACCTCTGAATCGTTAAGAGATGAATCTTATTTGGCAAAAAAAATCTGCCTCTGAATGATTTTGTATCTTGGATCTCCATTGACCATTAAGAGCCCTAATTTAATTGTATATAATTAGAAACAATTATATTTCATTTTGCACTATATCATGAGAACCTCTTAATCATTCTACACCAAACCATTCAGCAATTGTCAAACAGGCCCTTAGTAATAATTGTTTCAAAATATCAACTTTGTTTTTCTATAATTAATGATTAGTTTTTAGAACACATAAAAGTAATTTTATAATTGTATGAAAAACACTGTAAAATAAAACAAATTACATAAAAATGTAACCTATTTTATTATGATTCTTGTTTTAGATAACATATTTTTAGAACTTTTGTTTTAGCATCTCGAATGTAATATTTAAAACTTACAGGTACCTGATAACCTGATTAACCGTTAACTAAGTTATAAGATATCATACCCTGAAGATCACAAAACAACAAAAAAGTAAAAGTGACCGAGATGAAAGAGAAAAACTTGTGTTTAACATTTCCGGAAAGACCCCCTGTTTGTTCGTTTACAAGGTTCAACACGAAATCATAACCTGCTTGGTTTAGATCGGGAAAATCATGTGGTTTTATGAAACCATATGCTATTTCGATAGGGACAGTTGACGACCGAACCCGATTTTTCCCATTATTTTCATATCCGTAACAGTGCAAAAACTAGCCATTATAAAAATTTAAAATACTTTATTTGTTTATTTACCCTATAAAATATTACATTTACTTTAAAAACATTGCTAAAGATAATAAAAGCAAAATGGCACTCGTCTCCTCTCGTAAGAGTAATAGTTGTTTGGTCTAGCGGTGTCGTAGTCCTTGGCCTCTTAGGAGGTCAGGGGTTCAAACCTCACCAAATGTGAGAAGAGTGTGTGAATTTATTTGCTATATTTGTCGTATATAAATATTATATACTAAAAAAAATATATTCAACCATACTTTTTATAAACAATTTAATAAAAAAATCAAAACATGTGAAAAAACCAATAGAATTTGACATCTACATACGACATCAAACAAAAACAAGAAGAAGAAAAGAACACTATATCTATATAATATCTGAAAAGCAACAACTTGCAAATTGTTTATGAGATATAAATTAGGGTTCCAAATAAAACACTACAAATCTTGAAAACCCTTTTTTGTATTCTTATTGTTTGTTAATCGTAATAAGTTGATAGTAATTTAAACGGTTTTTCATTTTAAGAATAATATATCGGTTTGATTTCAACTGTATTTTTGTTTTTATTGTAAAAGTATCTGATTTAATATCCAAGGTTATAACGTTGCAAATATTATGTATTCTATGGGTTTAAAACCCTGTAAAAATATTTAAACATGAACACGTGTAAAAAACCGAACTGAGTTGCTAGATCTATAATACCTGGTTAGTTGGGCGACTAGGTCTTATTAAAAGGGGTAATATTGTCTTATATAGTTTTACCTAGTTGTCCAACCAGGTACGATTGATATAGCAGATCCCAATCGTTATTCTCACCAGGTAATGTTAGAGTATTCAAAGTTATAACGTTGTAAAAGATTATATATTTTATGGTTTAAAACCTTGTAAAAATATTTATTATATATTGATACTAATATTGATATATTTATTTTCGAAATTTTATGATATCTTCAAATTTATATTTTATTAAAAAATAAAAACATTATTTGTTTTTTCATAAAACCACATAAAAACCGTATCATAACATCTCCAGAGAAAAAATAAAATGAAACACTAAAATCGAGATATATCTCGTTGCATTGTAATAATGCCCTTTTAATACCATATAAAAGTAAATGGGTTGACTTAACTTCAAAGCTCATAAACCATATTTTTCAAGGTACCAAATAAGCAACATGATTAGTTAGGTTTCCAATCTTTTTTTGGAACAAAAAAAACCATTCATTCAAGTTATTAAAATATAAAACTTTATTATATATAAATAAATGTAATAAAATATATGTTGTTATATCAGTATTAAATTTATTTTATAAAAAATAAATAATAAAAACTATTCAATTTATTTTATTAAAATAAAACAATAAATACAGGTCTGAATGGAATCCAAAGTGTGGTGAATCATCTTCTAACATGGTCTTATGTGGGGTGTGTCAGTAATTAAATACACCAAACCAACAAAAACACATTCAGACATCACTGTTGCTTACCCCAGAGCCCTAGACTCCATTTGTTTCAACCTCATGTTATTTTGATCATTAAGTTATAGCATTAAAGTTCAATATTAATATATGTGATCTTGAAATTAATCCAAAAATTCAATTACCTCGTAAAACTGATTCATTTAACATGACCATAATAACTATTTAGGGTGATTCAGAACATAACTAAAGGGTCGTTTACCAAACGCTGACAACGTTTACTAAGTCACATTACCTTAAAGGTGCAACTGTTATACAAAAATCCTGAAGTTCATTGTTGATTGTTGTCTTAGGGGCCGTTTACCAAATACATATCTGGTAAGCACTTAGCAGTAAAATTCAATACTATCATTTACTTAGTTTAGTCAACAAAAACGGCTTTCTAAACAGCAATTTAGCTGGTAAGAGCTGACCGTGGTAAGAGTCATTGTCATCACTTACCGGATAAGACTCTCGGTCTTTGTCTCGTGTAAGGTTATTGGTCATTACCATATTCATCCAATAAAATATAACTTGGTAAGCACTTATCTGAATAAACATTTGGTACTTTATTTTTACCCATCCAGTTGTGTCCTAATGTATGCTGTCTAATCTACTCATAAAAATATGATTTAACCACAGGGGCGGTGCCTGATTGGTTTGAGTTTGGCTCCAAAGGTCAAAAGTATCAGGAGGTTCCAGGTTTAAATTCAAGGAGAAATAAAAATCCTCTTGTGACTACGGAGGTTTAAATGCGGTGACTCTGAGATATCTGCAAAGCAGATGATCGTTCTGGAATTAATCAGCTCGTATAGCGGGTTGGATAACCAGATTAATAAAAAAAATATGATTAGCTATAATTAAGTCATGGTTTTGAAGGCCCACTATACAGACTACAGATAGAGTTTTATTTGTTTGCCAGCTATCTTTATCCTTGTCATTTAGCCAATCAGCACCCTAAAACAGCCATTTCCCATTTGTCCTTTCTTGGCTCTGAAAATATTACCCCATAAATATTTTTCTTGATTTGACATCTCCATTCTTCTTCTTCTTCTTCCCTTCAACAATGGCAGAAACCCTCCATTAAATGCTTCACCACTGTCTTCTTCCCTTCAACAATGGCAGAAACCCTCCATTAAATGCTTCACCACTGTCTTCTTCCCTTCAACAATGGCAGAAACCCTCCATTAAATGCTTCACCACTGTCTTCTTCGGTGCTTCCAACTACCTCCATTATTCACACCTCCTTCCTTTCTTTCTTTTATTAACAACACCCACGTTATCGTTTTCTTTTTTACCCACATTAATGCATTAATTGCCCACAACCAAACCCCCCTTTTTCTGTTTTTGGTTGTCTCCTTTGTACTCTTTTCTTTTAACTTCTTTCCTCTCTAAAACCAGCTTCCCCAACATTCTCTTTTTAACTAACTTTATCTTGCTTCTTTTCACTTTGTGGCCCTCAAGCATTCATTACTCCAAATCTTTAATACCCATTTGGATTTGGCTTTCATTTCTGTATCTTTTTTTATAATGGGTTATCTCAGATTCATGCTTTTAATGCTCTGACCCCTTTTCTTTATCTAGTTTTGAATGTTAAAGTTGAAAACTTTGGTTTCATGCTACTCATGTGTCTTGTCCTTATCTCATTTCTTATGCTAATTTGATCAGTCTTTGAGAGAATTTTAATGGGGTTTCTTTGTTTTCTTGTTAGTTGTAAGGAGGTTGATTTAGGGTTTCATTGAAACTTTTGGGGTCAATCAGATGGGGTTCTACTGCTCAAATTTGGTGTTGTTCTTATTGTTTATTTCATGGGGTTTCTTTGTCTCAAACACCAATCAATTACAAGCAACTCAGACTCAACTTCTTATCCAACTCAGGAAGCATTTGGAGTATCCATTGCAGTTAAGCAATTGGGAGAACTTCAATGGTGATTTTTGTAATTTGGATTCAGACCCACAAGTTACCATCAAATGTGAAGGTAATTCAGTCACTGAGATCAAAATCATGGGAGATAAGCTTTCAAAGGTCAGTGATTTCCATGGGTATGCAGTTAAAAACCAAACTTTATCTGAAACTTTCTCCGTTGATTCATTAGTAGTAACATTAGCAAGATTGAATACCTTAAGGGTTCTTAGCTTAGTGTCTTTAGGAATTTGGGGTCCACTTCCTGATAAGATTCATAGATTATCCTCTCTTGAACTCTTGGATATGAGCTCAAATTTCATGTTTGGTTCCATCCCAAATGAGATTTCTAGACTTGTAAAGCTTCATACTTTAACATTAGATGGGAATTTCTTCAATGAATCCATCCCAAATTGGCTAGATTCATTGTCAAACCTCACCATTTTGAGCTTGAAGAACAATAGATTAAAGGGCCAATTCCCTTCTTCAATTTGCAAAACTACAACACTCACTGATATTGCTCTATCTCACAATAACCTCACCGGAGAATTGCCGGATTTGAGTGCATTATCTGTTTTACATCTATTAGATTTGAGGGAAAATGGTTTCGATTCTGAGCTTCCATTGTTGCCCAGAGGAGTTACTACAGTTCTTTTGAGCAAGAACTCATTGAAGGGCCAAATTCCTGAAGAATTTGGTGAACTTGATCGGCTGCAACACCTTGATCTTTCGTTTAATTCCTTAACGGGTTCACCGCCATCTGCTCTCTTCTCGTTGCCAAACATAAGCTATCTGAATCTTGCATCCAATATGTTAAATGGCCCTCTTCATGATATCAGCAAATGTGGAGATAATCTTGGCTTTGTTGATATTTCAAGCAATAGGTTAACGGGTAGGCTTCCTTCTTGTTTAGATACAAATTCTAGCAACAAACGAGTTGTGAAGTTTAATGGGAATTGCTTGTTTGGGGATAACCAACAGCAAAATTTAGATTCTATTTGCAAAGAAGCTAGTTTGAAGAAAAATCGATCTTGGGGTAGTGCGGTATGGATTATAATCGGTGTCATTGGTTTAGTGGTCATTCTTTTGGTCATAATTGCCTTTGTTCGCCTATTCTTTCGTAAAAGGCATCATCAAAGAGAGATCATCACGCTACAACACACGGTGCCAAAGGTCATCCAGGACAGTTTACCCTCCGGGATTTCTTCAGAAGTTCTTGCAAATGCCCGTAAGTTAACTGAATTACAAATTAGAAGCAAGTTGAAATCAGAACCGTAAATGTTTTGAGGATATGGAACCAAATATTTATGAATTATTCACATGTGAATATTGAAAATCATGACTTTCATGATGAATAATGGGGCTATTCATCATGAATATTTCATGAAATACTTCGTTCTAATGTTCTCAAAATAAATATGGTTCTCACTTGAACTTTACTCTTACAAAATTACTCCAACTTATGGTTAAGGATCAACGTTTTTTCGTTTTATTTAATCTCAGGGGTCATATCTGAAGCATCAAAGTTAGGGACACAAGTTGCGCCATCGAGTCGTGTGTTTTCGATAGAAGAGTTAGCCGGAGCGACTGATAACTTCTCCGCAACGATGTTTCTGGGCGAAGGCTCAATTGGAAAGGTATCATTAGCAATTTTCTGTATGCTTATAAATAGTATGCTCTTCCATTGCAATAAAAGACAGGTTTTGACTTTTGAGGTCAAACCAACCAAATTTTCGACTTAAAATTGGCAATATTTTTCACGTTTGCAACAAAAAATTGACAACCCCATTAATGCTATGGTATCATACTTCACTTAGAAGAACTTGTGTGCGAAATCCATGACGAAATCTGTGTCACTGTGGATATTTGAAGTATTAGATTAGACCTCAAGAGTCAAAACTGTATTCTTTTTGCAGCTTTACAGGGGAAGATTAGAAAACGGAAGCTATATCGTCATCCGATCTCTCTCATTGTTCAAAAAATATTCGATCCGAAACCTGAAAGTTCGGTTGGATCTGCTGTCAAAGCTTCGGCATCCGCACCTAGTCGGGTTTTTGGGTTACTGCATTAATGAAGAGGGTTTAGAAGATTACACTTCAAGCAGAGTCTTCCTAGTGCATGAGTACATATCTAACGGAAATTTTCGAACTCATCTCTCGGGTCAGTCTGCTGATAGCTTAATCTAGTTATGGATTCGATAGAAGCCTTAATGGTGAAAGCAAAAATCAGACACTAATATTAGAAACTTCCAAATTTTAGGACGCTTTTGGACATTCTAACAAGTTTTTTAGGACACTTTTGATATCATAAGTATCTTAGAAGCTTGTTAGGGTGTCCAAGTACGTTCTAACATCATATTGTAACACCTTTTATGTATAAACGCGCAATTGTTGTCTGATAAACTCAAGTCCCTTAAGACACTCTATTAAAACATTAAGACAATTGTTGTGAGGTTTGAATTCTTGACCTCCTGGGAGGCTGAGCTCTACCAGTGACCCGGGTACCACTTCGCCAATGACCCTACTATAAGACGATTTTGTTTGCAATGCTATGTGCAGAGTGTTCTCCAAATCTGGTTCTTAAATGGTCAGATCGATTGGCAATTCTGATCGGAATTGCCAAGGCGGTACATTTTCTGCATACTGGCGTGATTCCTGCATCTTCAAGCAATCGATTACGAACAAATAACATATTGCTGGACGAGCATCGTATTGCAAAGCTAAGTGACTACGGAATGTCCATCATCACCGAAGAATTAGAACAATTTGAGGTTCTTTTTCCTTTATCCTTGATTCTTTCTGTTCTATTTTTGGCTCAAATCTATGTCCTGATATGGCTATCGTCGTGTAGGCAAAGGGAGACGGTCCAAAATCATGGTAAGGTATCTTGGTTACGGAGAAAATGCAACGGACTTTGTCTTAGTTCAATTTTTTTCTTAATCAATATAACAACGTTTCAAAGTTTCCTATTCTTTTACCCATTTTGATGAGTAATCTATTGGTCTTGTAATATTTGATGACATAGATGTCAATTTTATAATGAGTTTCACCATAACCCGTTCATAAACCTTTCGCAAACAGGTGTCAACGTCATCAAATGTTACGAGATTAGCATCTTGCTGGCCAGAATGGGTACAAAAATATGAAAACTTGAAGTTATGTTACATCGATTGAGAAAAAAATAGGAAAACTAAACCAAACGTTGTTGCTTTTTCCCCTTTCGGTACTCAAACGTGTTTGTAATGGTACTTAGAGTTGAACTTTGCAGGCAAATGAAGAAGTTGGCTGATGACGTATACGATTTTGGGTTCATTTTGCTCGAAACACTTGTGGGACCGATTGTAACAGGAAAAGGCGAATCGTTTCTGCTGAACGAAATGGTACACGATATATATATCTCGTTACTGAACTTTTCTTGAAGAAAGATTCTTAAAGATGGTTTCTTTTTCTTTCGTTATGCAACAGAAATCTTTCGGAAGCCAAGATGGTAGGCAAAGAATCGTGGATCCGATAGTCTTGACAACTTGCTCACAAGAATCGTTATCGATTGTGATATCGATCACCAACAAATGCATATCTCCAGAACCAGCAAATCGGCCTTCGTTTGAAGACATGCTATGGAACTTGCAGTATGCAGCTCAAGTACAGGCCACGGCTGATTCCGAACAGAAATCAGATGGCGCGTTTTAATGCAACGAACGAGGACTTAGCAGCAGCAGAAGATAGAACTCGAAAACTTAGAAACCCATATTTTAGGACATGATTAATGTTTAAAGAGCTTTGGACGATTGATCACTGTGTTTTCTTTGCATTTCTTGTAACAAATCTGTAAAGTCCAATTCTTTTCTATGAATTCTTTGGTATGTTTAGCAAATGTGAATGAAGAAAGTTGAGTCATATTGAAATATAGAAAATACAATTAAAATGAGTTGTTGATTGATACAAATTGGGTGATCGTTAACGGGATAAGAGTATTGGGGCCGTTTACCAAACAGCTATCCGGTAAGTACTTATCAATAAAATTTAACATTATTATTTACTTATCGGGTAGGATTTTAGTCCATCAAAACGACATCGTATGCAACAATTTACCAAGTAAGCGTTTACCGTGGTAAGAGTCGTCGCCCTCACTTACCGGGTAAGACTCTTGGTCCTTGTCTCGCTCTTATCAAGTAAGATTCTTGATCCTTACCATATTCATCCGGTGAGGTAATGTTACTTGATAAGCGCCTTACCAAAATAAGCGTTTGGTAAACGGCCTCTAAATCAATAATGATCACTGATCGATTAAAAGTCCCCCCATTAGTTTATGGGTAAGCATCTCGTGCGGTAAGAGGAGTTTGATAAACGTCCACATCTCTTATTGGATAAGCCCCTCTTACTGTGTAAGAGACGGTAGTACTAAACATCTTGTAATAACCTTTTCGGTTTGCTAGATTTAGAATTGAATTTCATTTTAATTTCGTGTTTGGTTTAAAAGTAAGTTTTGGAATTAAAATCGTACAAACATTGGATTTAGATTTCTTAATAATCAACTGATAAAATATATCGTAAATTACGCTTTTTGTCCTTCTGGTTTGTTGAATTTTTTTATTTTTGTTCTTGTGATTTTAAAATTATGATTTTCATTCTCATAGTTTATAATTCATTTTGCTTTCGTCCTTATGATTTAAAATTTATTGTTTTTTTCGTTCATATGTTTTACAATTTATTTCTATTTTAGTCTCCCATGCTTAAAAGTAGTTGTTAACCTCATGAATGAAAATATAAATAAATTATAAATCATAGGGACCAAAACCGTAATTTCAAAACTTTAACAAAATCTGAAATTTCTAACAAGCCACCAGAACAAAAAATGTAATCCACTCAAAAATATAATTTAATTATTTTTGTAATTATTTATAACTTATTTTTTTTTATAAATTATCTATAAATAATTGAATTCAGTTTTATTTTAAATCTTACAAACCAATCATATCAAATATTTCAAATCTTTCCACGAAATTCGTAAGATCTCACATTGGTTTGGAGAGGGGAACGAAAGTTGTCTTAATTATAATGAACATTTTACCTCATCTATCAGACACGTCTTAAGACGGTGAATCGAGGTGTGTGGAGAAAGTAAACAATATCTTATACGGTTGACGTGGATTTTACAAGTGGTATCAGAGCCGGGAACTGAACTGGTCTGTCAGTGAGGATGTTGGGCTTCCAAGGGGGTGAATTATAAGATCCCACATTGATTAGGGAGATGAATGCAAGTTGCCTTATAAATGACATGATACCTCCTCGATCAGATGTTCACATCTGAAACTGTGACAAAGTTACAATATGATTGGAAGAAAAGAATTCTTCACAACACTAAACAGAAACTTGGCATTTTTTAACACACTCAAATGAACTGATACAGCTATGTCTGAACTGATCTTAACATCTTAATCACAAACTGGCTTAACAACAAGAGGTTTGCAAGAACTTTCATTGACAACGAATTGCTTCTCCTCGCCTTCCGGCAACTCCGCCACCAGTTTCGACAACTTCTGAACCACTTCTCCGGCATTTGGCCGCAACAATGGACCATCCTCCACGCACGCTCTTGCCAGATTCGCTATCGTGATCGCTGCATCGAACGAATAGTTCTCCCCCAATACGTTATCCATCCATTCCCTCAGCTTCTCATCTGCGATACTCGATTGCAATATAATCTTGATTTCCGCAGATAACAAAACCTCCTCTTCTTCTTTCTCCAACTTACTCCTGATGCTAACGGGTGGTTTTCCTGATAAAATCTCCAGCAAAACCACCCCAAAAGCATATATATCAATACTTGCAGTTATTGCATCTGAATTTTTAAGTTCAGGTGCAATATACCCTCTATCCCATCTCATGGGATAGAGGTTTTCCGAAGAAGGTTCTCCTTTGGAAAAATGATCATGTTCACCGCATTCTTCCATGCCAAAATTCCCGACCTTGGCGTTAAATTCTTCGTCGAGAAAAATATTCCGACTCCGAAGGTTCCGATGAACGTAACTCGGATTCATTATCTGATGCATATACTGTAATGCAATTGCGACATCCAAACAGATTCGTAGCCTTTGATTCCATGTTAAGAAACAGTAGCATGAGGCAATGAAATGGCTCTTAACTGCTAATCCGCCGTGAATCCAATCCTTCAACGATCCGTTTTTCGAATATTCGAACACCAAGAACGCATTGTGATCATCGGCTGACGTACTTCCATGGCTGCCGATCGTACAAGTCCCTAACAGCCTGATTAAATTGGGGTGAAAATGGGTTGCATCGTGGAAGAGTTCGAATTTGATCTTGGAGATTGTACGGTGGTCGGTGCATTTGATCGCCAAGCTTTTTCCGTTATGGCGGCCGTGATATACGGTGCCGTCGATGAGGTTGGTGGAGGAGAAGTGGTCGGTGGCGGTGGTGAGTTCCTCCGCCGTGAAGGTTTCCACCACCAGCTGCAGTTTTTTGGAGGAGGATTCTTCGAAAGAGATTTTGGTTTCGCTTACAGTTCTGATACTTAAACTCAGATGTTGATGCTCTAAATCCAGACTTTTGGTGCATAAAGAATCATGGTGGAGCTTCTTCTTCTTCTTCCTGGAGAGGATGATGTAAATGGCGGATGCTGCAATGGCGACGCAGATGATGAATGCAGTCACAGTAACAGCGATATAGACTCGAGGTTTCCACATCGTGGATTACTATTAGGGAACAATGGAAGTCAATAGTAAAAGTATTAACCTCCAAATGGTCTCGTGCACAATTTTTTGGGTATGAAATGCTGAATTTTAAAGTGGGTTAGGTTATTAGAAAATATCATAGTTTTGAATAACTCGTTATGACGTCAAGTTACGGGTTCGTCGTAACGTTAACCACTGTGACTCCACTTTAAGGCTTGATTTCTACTGTAACGTTAATGCCTTTGATAACCAGTTAATGCTTGAACCGGATACTCGGTACTTAAATATTTAAAACTTTACATCTTAGGTATCAATATGGAAGTTTTGAAAATACGTTACCTAAAATTGAAATCAAATTAAAGTACGTTTCTTTTTAATGTAATTTGCCCCAATTAAAAACTATAAAACCTTTCATAATACTTTCATTCGTTTGTCTCATTTTTACCCGTCGTTTATCCCATCTAATTCGTATACGATTAAAAGCTAAACTCTCAAATAGGGTATTTTTTATCTTGCAAAACAAGGAAGTTCAACATATAAATAAGATACTAGAATACTAATCGCACAATACAACGAGATACATTTTGATTTTAATATTTCATTTTATTTTTTATCTCAGTGATGTTATAATATGGTCTTATGTGATTTTGAAAATGCAGTGGTGTTTTTATTTTTGAATAAAATATAAATATGAAGATATCATAAAATTTTGACAAAAATATATCGATATTAGTATCTAATTAACTATTTAAAATTCATATTTTTTCATATTTTTTTAATTTAATTTTTTATTATAATTTAATTTAGGTTCAATAACAAAGTAATTTATATTTAGTTTAATAATATAATTTTCTTATAAAGATAATAATTAATTATTTTGTTATAACTCGATAATTATCCTAATTATATTTTAGATTTTTAGATTTTAAAATGAGATGTTTATCCTCTATTTGATTATGTTTATTCGTAGTTAGTTACACGAGTTCAAATATGAAGCTTTAATAAGTTGTACTTATGCATAATTTAGTTGTAATTTTGAATTTTAAGTAATATGCATCAATATACAATACTTCATGTATAAAAAATGATTTTTAAGAGTTTTTGTCAAATGCTTTATAATGTAGTATAGAAAAGCATGTCCCGTTAAGGATTTTTAACACAAGTATTCAGACCAAACTTTATCTCCAACGGTTTATATTGATATTTTGAGTAAACTACAAATTTGGTCCCTATGGTTTTCCAAAAACAACAATTTTTGTTCCTAATAGTTTCAAAATTACAAGATGACAACCCTGATTTGCAAAAACGTTCGCATTTGGTCTCTCCCTTAAATGGCTGTTAAAAAAATCCGTTGCATAAGAAAAAATGTCGTTATCTTTTTTCTCTTTTAACCAATCAAATCAATTTTATGATTTTGGTCCTTGTGGTTTTTTATTGGGTAAAAGACAATAAAAAAAGATAAAATGACGAAAATCCCTCATTTAACGGAATTTTGTAACATCCTTTAGAGGAAGGGACCAAAATCGGACGGTTTTACAAACCAAGTAGCCATCTTACAATTTCCAAGCTGCAGAGACGAGAAGTTTTATTTTCGACAAACCACAAGAACCAAATTTGTAGTTTACTCTTGTATTTTTACTGTGAACAGACTAATATATGTCTCGACTAACATAGACTATCAAACCTACATACATTCGAAGAATCAAATGAGAAGAAACTGAAAATAACAGAACATATCAGATGGGATTTTATACTAAGATCACATGAGATTACGGAACAAACAAAGTCTACGTAAGGATATGTGGACGACTTGACTTATAACCTAAGTCGCAGCAAAACTCATATGTAAAATTACGTTAGATTCATCTATTCTCATATTAATTAATCTTCTATGTATGTAAACGAACTTTCCTCTTTATTCTTCTTAGAATTTCTTATATAAATTAAGGGGTCGTTTATCAAACGCTTACTCGAGCAAGTGCTTATCGGAAAAATTAAACACTACCGCTTATTTACCGGGTATGATTTTAGTCCACCAAAACGGTATCTTATGCAATAATTTACCCGGTAAGTGCTAACCATGGTAAGAGTCGTAGCCCGCACTTACCGGGTAAGACTATTGGTCCTTGTCCACACTTTTAATATGGTAAGATTCTTGGTCCTTGTCATATTCATCCGGTAAGATAACATTACTTAGTAAACACTTATATGGGTAAGTGTTTGGTACTATTATCCTTTTGTATTGTTTGATGAATGTGGGTGGAGGACTTTGGATCTATACAAAGAAGAGCAGACAGTTTATGGGCAGGTTTATTGGGGTTAAAAATTGCTACATTGTTAAGACTTCTGGTCCAAGGTTTCAATGGCCAATGACCTTGGTCAAACAAATACCCTATTACTTTTAAGAGAATGTCTTGGTTCTATTTATAAATCAATTGATTAATATATTTATAAAAATTAGAAGAGTATTCGTACAATGTAGTGAGATATATCTTGATTTTAGTGTTTCGTTTTATTTCGTCTTTGTAGATGTTTTTTTTGTGTAATTTCTTTAATTCAATTTTTTTTAATTATAATTTAATTTAGATTTAGTAACGAAGTAATAATATAATTTTTTATAAAAATAATAATTAAGTAGTTTGTTAGAACTTAATGATTATCATAATTATATTTTAGATTTTTTTATATTTAAAATGAGATATTTACCTTCTATTTGATTATGTTTATCTGTAGTTAGTTACACGAATTTAAACATGAAGCTTTAATAAGTTGTACTTGCACACAATTTATTTGTAATCTTAAATTTTAAGTAATATGCATCAATAAACAAGACTTCATGCTTAAAATATGGTTTTTAAGAGTTTCTTGTCAAATGTTTTATAATACTAGAAGGGTACTCGTGCAATGCATCGAGACACATCTTGATTTCAGTGTTTCGTTTTATTCTTTTTTTATATTGATATAATACGGGTTATGTGGTTTTGAGAGAACGATAATTTTTTATTTTTGAATAAAATATAAATTTGAAAATATCATAAAATTTTGAAAAAATAATATATCGATGTCAGTATCAAATTAATATTTTTAAAAGCTCTTGTGTTTCGGTGTAATTTTCTTAATTCAATTTTTTAATTATAATTTAATTTAAGTTTAGTAACAAAGAAATTTAATTTAGGTTTAAAAATATAATTTTTTATAAAGATAATATGTAAGTATTCTGTTAGAATTCAATTATTATCCTAATTATATTTTAGATTTTTTATATTTAAAATGAGATGTTTATCCAATATATTTGATTATGTTTATCTGTAGTTAGTTACACGAATTCAAATATGGAGTTTTAATAAATTGTACTTATGCATAATTTACTTGCAATCTTAAATTTTAAATAATATGCATCAATAAACAGTACTTCATGCATAAAAAAATAATTTTTAAAAGTTTTTGTCAAATGCTTTATAATATAGTATAGATAAAAAAAATTATTTATTATGATTTCTATAATTATATAAAAAATTATTAAAGTTGATTTATTAATATCAGTGTTTTATATTTTTAGATAATCCAAATATTTATTTAAATCAGATTTTTTTATTAGTCTATATAAATAATTAAATTTTAATTTTTATATGACTTGGAATTTTAAAATAAAAACACCTCTATATATAAAATAGGGTAACACGTGTCGATTCGGGAAGCTTATCTTGAGTTTAAGGTTCAAAAAACAAGAACCATAATTTCATGAGAGAATGTGCAAGTGCACATGGCTACACATGCTCTATTCATTGATCTGCTTAAAATGAACAAACCCCAACAGCAACTCATTCAGATTTGAGCTGTTTTAGCTGTGATATATCATCATGGTAATGTTATTTTATTAGGGGTTGTTTTACCGTTATTGAATGGTTTGATATAAAAGATTAAGTAATTAAAATAATTAAGATGTTCTTATGATATAATGTAAAATAAAATATAATTATTCGTACAATTGAATTAAGATGTTGAATGGTTAAGGGAGACTCACGAAACAAAATCATTCAGATGATTTTAGAACCATTAAGAAACAGACAGTTTTTTTGTCAAACAATATTCACCTCTTATTAGTTCAGATGTTGTCTCTTAATATAACTATTAAGAGGTAAACAATAACATTTATCCAGCAAACGTTTGGTAATCGGCCCCTTAATTGAGGTATTATCTTAGGTGGAAACATGTCAAATACGGTGTACGAAACGAGGAATTATATTTTTTAAGAAAGAATAAGATATTGTTTAATAGTTTCATAAGTGTGGAATTTATCAAACTCGAGTTTAAAATGTTGAAATTCCTTATTTAAGATAAAGCATGATCGATACAAATTCAGCATTTCATGTGAATTACTAAAACAAAATAAAATAATTAAAATCGAGGAATATTTGAAATTGGGGACCAAATGAGGATATAAATCATATGTTCACCGATCATATAAATACATATAATCAGAGAGAGAGAGAAAAAACGATCATGAATTAAATAAATTTACAGTAAACAAAAATCTGATTTCTATTCACCAAATTATAGGGGCCAAAGTGGCATACTCCCATTTAGGCGTACATGTCATTGTTAGTTCACCTTGTTTGGAAGTTATGATTATTTTAAACTTGGTTTTTTGGCATTTATGTTCCCGTTCCGTATATGAATTATTCAATTTGTTTCGTTTAAGAGTAAGTTTTTTTTATTAATTTGAATATCCAATTTGTTATGCGAGGCGACTGATCCCAGAGTGACCATTTGTTTTGCAGGTAGCTTGAAATCATCACATTTGAACCTCTATAGCCACAAGGGGATAAAAACACTTAAGGAGTAGGATTACGATCAATATTCAAGAGCATCTTAAGCCTCTGGGTTTAATGAAAAAATATGGACACAACAATTTGTGTATCTAGTATATTTGTGTGACTGTATGTGGATATTCTTATGTTTTTGGCTGGGAATGCGTATACAGCCTTTGTTTCGTTAACCAGTATCAAATC